AATCTTTTTACATGTTATTGATCAAAATTGTTAATTTGGTTGTTACTTTTGTTATGCAGATTCTATGTAGATAATGTTCCGATCAGGGAGGTTAAGCGAACGGCGTCTATGGGCGGTGACTTTCCATCAAAGCCGATGTCGCTCTACACAACAATATGGGACGGTTCTAAATGGGCGACTAATGGTGGCAAGTACGGTGTGAACTACAAATATGCGCCTTACATTGCGCGGTTCTCTGATTTGATCCTTCATGGCTGCGCTGTGGACCCAATTGAGCAGTTTCCGAAGTGCGATGAAGGTGCGGTCGAGGATATCCGTGCGATGCAGGAGATTACGCCGTCACAGAGGGGTAAAATGGACATATTCAGGCGGAAACACATGACTTACTCGTATTGCTATGATCGGACGAGGTACAATGTTGCTTTGCCGGAGTGCGTGGTGAATCCCACAGAGGCTAAACGGCTTAGGGTTTACGATCCGGTCACGTTTGGCGGAATCCCGAGGCGCCACCGCAACGGGAAGCACCGGAGCAAGAGAAGCCGGATTGATGGAACAGAGTCCATATGATGATCAAAATAGATAGTCACGTAATATGGTGTTGGTTGAGATTTGGGGGAGGTTTCTATATTAAGTCCATATATTGGTATTTATGATTCAATGCATTTTCACAGCTAGATGGGGCATTTTTGTCATTTGTTGCTTGTATATGAAATGAAAAGAAAATAATTAATTTTTTTTTATTTGAGAGATTTGGAGTTTGAATACTATAATAAAGGTGTTTTTTTTTGGTTTTATATATGTGAATATATGTCGTTTACGAATATTTGCGTATTAATTTCAGTTTTGTTGGATGTTTTCTTGTCATTTTCTGTTGCCTATCGACTAAATTTAATCTTTGTATTTAGACGAAAGTTTTTTTTTGTCTCTCTTGTACTTGTTTTTATTCAATGGGTCCAATGAATATTATTTAATTTTGTGTGGTCATGTTCATGCACATATGTATATGCAACAATGAAAATTTATGTTATCAATACATACATAGTACTGAAAAAAATAAAAAAAATACATACATACATAGTAGTATAGTAACAGAAAGCCAATATTAATAATTAATATGTATAAGAACGTAGCCCATAAAATCGTAAATCTCAATGGCATATCAGCGTAAATAAACAGCGATTTTAGGATATTAAGGTAATTTTAAGTCTGAAATTGATAGTAGAATTATCATCTAGAATTGGCGACTTCTCATTTATTTTATTTTATTATATATGTGAAGTAAGTTATCCTACGTGATGGCTTCTAATCGATTTGAGGATGAATGATTATAAAAATACCCTTAATAAAATTTAGATATTTACGTACCCTTGCCATCAACTTTTTTTTATATTAAATTAAAGTACTACTAATCCGTATGGTTTGTTTTAGTGGATTTGTGTTAATTGGGCCTGGGATTTATTTTGTGTTAATTAGGTTTGGGCTTTATTTTCTCCTTTACTATGTTTAGCCCATATTGTTTAAGATAAAATGGAATATTGTCATTTTTGTATGTACTCTATATTTAGATTAATAATGGTAACGATTGTTCTCTAATAGTTAATTTTTTTATGTTTATCTTAACGTAAATCAGA